CTCCACAAGTATTCATTTGGTACACTATACATATATGTACTGCCCTGCTAAGATTGAATTCAAATGACATCCTACTTTGTTATTTCTAGAGCTCTAAACATAGCCAAATATGTCAATTTCTGTACATGTCCAAAATATGGCCTACTTTGAGGGACAAGTGCACATCAACGACACAAGACCCCAACCTCCACAAGTATTCATTTGATACACTATAAATATATGTACTTCCCCGCAAAGATTGAATTCAAATAGCATCTAACTTTGATCTTTCTAGAGCTTCAAACATAGCCATGCATGTCAATTTCTGTACATGTCCAAAATATGGCCTACTTTGAGGGACGAGTGCACACCAACGACACAAGACCCCAACCCCCACAAGTATTCATTTAATAGACAAAACATAGTGTTACTTTGGGCAAAAGACTTTATCAGATTGCTTGCTTTCTTTTGTAGAAATAGTATCCTGAACATGGCTGAAAATCATATTTTCCCTCAAATTCAAAATTTGACCTACTTCTAAGGACAACCACGTGACAACCAAAGAAGTGCTCAAAGTTTGCAACCATGCATCTTATAGCACATATGTTTATGTATCTATGATTTAAATTTGAAGCAAAAAAAATCACCATCTTTGGACTTACAGCACTTTGAAGTTGGGTATAAATAACGCTTTTTCATAAGCCTCAAACACTGTATTGTGTTAGGGTTGCCCAGGTCCTTTAAACGAACTTCTTCAAAATTTCAAAGCTGTTCTAGAATAGCGGATTAGTTGGTCTTTTATGCCCATATTTTGTTTTTCCATAATATTAAAGCACTTGCTCGTAATCGTGCCTTAAACTATGCCAAATTTCATGTTTTTCACATGTCTAAATCAGGGAAAATGGCCCCGAAACTTGTTTGGCCCGTTACCATGGCAACGATCGGTGCTGACCGGAAAGAAAGCTATTTTGAGGGGTTGTGGGCCAAGTACTATCACTGTGCAAAGTTTGAGCCAAATCGATTTTTTGACCCCTGCCACCCTTGTTTGATCCTTACAGACATTCGCTCTTAAGTCTGTATGATGGATGTTGAAACTATGTATAGTGCCGGCAACTTCCTTCACATTCATAAGTGGAGTTTTATGGTGCTTTCAGTCGGCTCGTTTTCTCAATTATCTTATTCATTATTATTGACACATATCATGTTATCATTTATTACTGCCAATGGCGGAGCATCCACATTATGGGCATGCATAGGAACATCAACATTTGGTACGTCGTGTATGTAATATGAACATGGCTGTAATAGATTTCTCAACATTAATGATCTTTGAATAGGAACTATCGTTCTCTTTAGACATTCAAACCGACACAATAGAACCAATGCTTTTGATTGTGCGACTTTTTTTAAGCACTCAATGTCGTTAGTTTTGCAAGATCCACTAAATGTTTTTAATCATGACACAGAATCCGTGATACCATGACGCACAAATTGTCCTCGATCAGGAGACTGTCTGCATCTGATTAGGTTTGCGATATCTCGCAGAAAGTAAGAGCAGGGTTGTTTAGCAATTTGTATCGTGACATCAACGCGTTGCCACCTCCCAACATTGAACGTTTGGGTTGATTTGACTTGAACAAGGTGAAACAACACATCAACTACACTAGGTGACCTTCGTGACCGCAGGGAAATGAGTTAAAGACACATTGGTTGGTTATTTTTCAGCTGTAAGTGCTTGATTTGAATTAATTGTGTCTGCATGACACAATGTGAGCTGCCCCGCAAATAAGGATATGGTTTACCACGGGCTGTTTCCCTTTTCTACATTTGTGGAAGGATTGACATGACAACTGGTCACTATCACGTTTTCAAGATGTCAACCCGGAGACCAGACAGTAATGTTTGAACCATCCTCAAATGAGGCGACACATGCATATGATTCTTTTTTTGTAGCTACGTGCCACAGCAATGCTGCGTCGATACGGCTGGCGATTTCAGCAAATTTATGTCTCTTCTACCCTTTCCAATTTCCACTCTATGAGTGTACTGGGTTCTTGATTGTTTGCCAGTACTAGTTGTTACGTATCTGCAATATCTTATATTGGAACTTCACTAAAGAATCTGGACGCCGTTCTCTATAGTCTATTTATTTATCTCCAAAACTAAAGGCATGGTCTCTTTTCACAAACTGGTGTCCAGACAGCTTTAGACTAGATCTCATGTAACAAAGATATGATATCGCTATTTGTGACCAGTTTTGGGTACCAGCCCCGCCGACATGGTACAGATGTGGTACAAATCTCAGTGTCATATATTGTAAAAATACATGGGTTGATTCCGGACCAAATTGATCTAATACAACGGATTTCGTCTGCTGAGTCGAACACACTACTTAACATTGTCCGTTTTGCATTAGTCATATCATCATTTCTGCAACTTAATCGACTCCTCCACTTAATCGCAGAAAATCGTTGACTTGGGTCTTGTGATGTCCGTGGTGTCTGTGTGTTACGGGCAGGACCTGCCGAAGCGTGACCAGGCGTTGGGGTTGTACTGGACCCGCTCGGCGTCGCCAGCGTCCTCCACCACCTCCTCCACCTCCTCCGTAGCCGGGTCTCGCCGCTGCACGCCGTGGGTCGGTACGGCCACTTCCCAGAAAAAGCCGTCACGGTTCAGTCCACCTCTCCGGACCGGCCAGGCACTTCTGAGGTCCACTCTGTTTCGTATTCTCCTACCTGAACAAACAAAAAAAAAAGATCTGTCTAAAACTGACGGGGCAAAAGATTTGTACAACTGCAGTAAACAACACAAGAGCAACTGATGACAAAAAGCACGGTTACCGCAATGATTAGTCATTACCGTATACTGTAGCTTTTTAAAACAACTATTTTTTTTCTAAAAAAAACATGAATATTCTGAAGCAATAAGTTGGCTACAAAGCTAGCAATACGGCTGGGCCACATATCCCATACTCACGACACAACGATGCAATCTCTCACCAAGTCTTAGCTATAATAGTCGTGATAGTTCTGTCTGTAATAATGTTGATAAGATCACGTCTTCGTGCAGAGAAGCTCCGGAAATCATGTTTAGCTTGAGGCAACAATATCATCCCGACAATTAGATATACTTCTCACTAGACTTAGAATATTATTCCCATGATTATATCAGCTTTACTTTGATCCGAGCTGGATTTTCCACTACTGTCCCATCGTTTGGGACCGTAGTGGAAATCGTAGGGTTTCCAAATGTTTGTATTTAACTCTGATGTTGCAAACTAATCGATGGTCAGAACAATCAGAATGTTCTTATAATATGTAAACTACTAATAAGCACTCATATAGAGACGTACAAAAGAACAAATATATACAGATAGGTGCACACACTAGCTGCATGGGGCATTTTGACATATCACACCTGGACTTTGGTCGCTCCACTTTACAAAACTATAACCCACGCCTACCAACAGTCCCAAACCTCCCTGCAGGTAACGGCGCGGTCACATCCGTGCTACGTCGTCGCACGATTTTGATGTCAAAGACTTTTAAAGAAGCTAGGCTGTGACAGAACTAATCGCCGACAAGGACCTAAGACAGCCTGTGTCTACGACACATTCACGACTATTCTACGAATGCCCTCAGTTTGTCAATGTATTTACTAGTATTACGACGATCGTACGATAAATGTGACAGGGCCGGATGGCCGGAAGAATCTTTACTCCTAATATCGCAATAAACTCAGTTTTTAGAAGCTGTAAAATGATACGCCTTGTTTTACCAACGGTTTTTTTTATAACAAGAACAATTTTGTATCTGCTCTCATGAGAAGTAACTTTGTAGTTGAGAAAAGGGGCTCGTACCTCCACAGCCTAGCCTGTGCTCCTCTCGTCCTCCTCCCAGTGCCAAACTGTCTACCGTACCGGGCAGGATGGTGTGTAGCAAGACCAGAAGCGAAGCCAGGAGTAAAGTAGTGGTCCTCATCGTTCTGCCGGTGAAAAATGATGATACTTCTTGTTTCAAACAAATAAGAAAAACATGTGCAATAGACGGAGACAACTGTAGAGTCCAGTTAAGTCATTTCCTTGTCATCCTTTTATCTTAATTTCATAATTTGTCATTTACGTCTTGTAATTTCGAGAACGGTTTTCGCGGAAAAACGAGCTGTGGGTAGTCATTTTTTGTTTCTGTTGATGCAAGAAAGCCAGCAGGTCAATGCGATAGATTTTGAAATGTTTTGGGCTCGTTCTCAAGTTTAAGTCCCCAGATGCCATGTGTACGAGTACGTCATACCACATCAGGCAAGGTCAAACAAAAACCAAATATTACCAGGAATTCTGCGTCTCCATTTCAAATATTTCCAGGGATTCTAAGTACATACCCATTTCAAATATTAGCACAAATTGTACGTATCCACTGAAAATTAACAGACGAACAGGACTTCGTTTGTTAAAAAGAGGTCAGGATGCAATACTGTCGGACCTACTCACCTGTGTTCCTCTGGACTGGCAGGACGGCAAAACGACACCGACGAAAAGATAGAGTTGGGAATATTAGTGCGCCCGCCGGACTCTCTGCTTTTATAGATGCGGATAGGACCTGTCCCGATTACTATATCCCCTAATACCATGTGGGGCTGTCTTAACGAATGCTCACTAAATGCTCCCCGCCGGGATACTACGTCATTCCTTAAGAACCCCAGATCAGTCACCATCCGGGGACACTCGTAACTACCAGAACCCTCCACCCCTTCAAATCGCGGAGATTAGTGATGTTGCGCTGATTCCGATTTCTCAACTTTTCCGTTTTGACGAGTTTGAGGGACTTTGATCAGCATTATTCACACATCACGACTGCCGCAGACCTCCAGTGGCGCAGTTAGGCCCCTGTAGACTCGCTCATAACCAGGCACAGATAACATTTTAACGAGTTCGGCAAAGTTTTGAAGCTGACGTAAGGCAATTTCTGCCCAAGGGTTACTAGCGATTTTCACGAGCGGTGAGGTAATGAGAGAAATTGCACAACTAAACCAGCATGAAACATATCATCACTTAATGTTAGCTCTGTTATCTCTTGTCGTATAATCAATGTTGCTTAAGTAGTGGGGACTTGTCCCTTTCAAACTCTGTCAGCGCAGTAAGTATCTACCCCGTCTATGGATCCACATGTTGTCACAAAAACTTTCATCTATGTTTCTTATTTATTTCGTGAGATTTGCCATATTTGTGGAAGGATTGACATAACATGTGACTATCACGTTTTCAAGATGTCAACCCAGAAACTAGGTGTTAGGTCTTAACTCTCACCAAGAAGAACCACTCTTTTCGATAAGTGTGGTGGGTTCTTCATCGTGCTTGTGAGATGTGGCTCTCCTCAGACACAGGTCCTCCACCTCGATGTGCCATTCGGGAGGACGTCCCCAACCACAGTTATGTGCTCGATTTTAGCGGTGTACAGTGATCGAATAGGCGTTAAGTTCCTTTCCCAAGGGTACAGCACCGGAGCCTGTCAGGGATTTGAACTCAGACCCTTCAGATTCTGAGTCAGCAACCCTGGTCCTAACCATAAGACCACCTTGCCTTCACCATCAAGAGTACAAGTCAACATTGATTCCCTACAAAGTTAATTTTGATCCACTCCAAAATCTTCTAAATACCTACCATTAGATGGTGAGTGGTTTGGATATTGTTAGTGCTTTTTCATGTTCATATTTAGAGTTTTAGGTTTCTCAGACGTCCCGCGTCGTCTGCGACACACGGACGGTTGTAGCCGGTTATACAAGAATCCCGGGAGACTGACAAGATGATTTATGACCATCCTGAACCTACAAATGTCCGCTGCCAATTTGTATGGAAATACATTTTTCCACGCTATGCATTAGTAAGATAAATTATAACCTCTATAGATGGACATTTGAACCGCAATAATGAACCAGTTACATATGGATTGAAAACAAAATCGTTTACCATAAGTTAGATGTCTTAAACACAGCTGGTTGGAAATCCTAGCACTTATACCACATAAGATGTGATCAAAAGACTGTTCTGTTACTCATCATCCATTAGCCAAATGCCAAGGCTCCGACCCGCATTGTCCGAAAGGGCACGTGGTTATTAAATCCCCTTCAATGCGTTTATGGGATTTGTTTCTTATCCCCTTGTATTTTCCAAGATCTCCCACGGAGAATCAGTATCTTGCTTTAGACCTACTTTCTGACCCTACGTCAACTTAAATCCAATTAAAATCTCCGGTGTGTCTCTATCATCTCAACAGTTGTGAGACGGGTTAGCCCGGGTGCCATCCTAGGATCCTCCGTAGTTACCACTGGTTCTCCTTTTTCGCTTACCGCTTGCTAGTTTTACAGGCTATGGGTACCGTTGGAGTCGTTCGGACTGTAACAGATTGGACAGAAGAGACAATCTTTTCCTCCTCTTCTGCTATGAATCCTTCTAAGTACATTTTGAAGATGACACATGAGACTGATGACGTTGGCGTTAGTCCAGCGTCCAAAAAAATCGCCATCAGTGCAGACTTAACGGTTTACAGACGGTACCCCCAGGACGTAAAACTTTGAGACCCAGATAATTTCCTACGACAGACCATTGTTACGGACGTCATCTTCAGTCGTCAATGAAGGTTAGACACCCCGGTAATGAGATACGCAAGGAAATTGTTACTCAAGCAACTGGATAGATTTTGAAATCTATTCGGTTGCTTGAGTGACAATTTCCTTGTGTCGTCTTCAGTCATTTGCCCCCATTGACGTTAGCTCGAAGATGGTTTAGTTTGATTTTACTCGTAGGACAGATCAGGAGTTCAGATGACGCAGGATCTGGAGTTTAAACCATTCTGAAGTGCTCGATATTTGATTCTGACGAATACTGATTTAAAATACGTATGCTACGTGCTCACTATATGCTCAAGTCAAGGCCTTAACAGACTAATTTGCTGAACGGAAACGCTGATATAAACGAAAATGACAGATACAGCTTCTTGATTGGACCCGGCCAGCGTACACACTGTTTGTACTAGTTAAGTGTGACCAGACTGTATCCCTGCGTGTGCTCGTTACTAGCTTCTGCAAGTGGGTCCCTGAATTACCGTACCAAGTCAGGACTGAAGGAAAAGTGGTGCAGATATTCAACAGTGATGTTCGTTCCATTTACGCCACAAAGGATGGAATTTTGACAATACAGTTTTCTCTAACACACTCAACCTGCGTTGTTGAAGATCGACACCATGCATCATTCCTACTTAATGTGGATAACGACGTGAAGTGTTATCATGACTGACACCTATAGCTATACTCACTACCGTCGTTGGAATTACCCACAATGTACCACTTGCTACAATTCTGCCTGTGAGCGGGTGACAGGGCACAACAATCTGCTGTTCGTGTCCCTGTCGCACGATAGCGTACCTAAACAGAAAGGACAAACCATTCCCTGTTTCTTGAGCCTTTTATTAGACCATAGGAGAGTTGAGGCAGTTCTCCGTGCACCTTTATTTTCCTGCCTTCCACATCTTGCACTGGTCGCAAAAGCAAAGGGTATGTCAAAAAATCGTTTTCATTACTTGATCGTCTGAACATCTGCTTTGAGCAACACCTACATTAAACCACAGTTTTATACGTGACTGATTTATGACCGTTATCACTCAGTGTCACTAGAGCTTATTGAACGAAAACCAAACATCCCAGTCAACCATATTGTAGGTAGTTCCTAGTTATATATGACAAAACATATGACAAAACCATTGTCGTACTGTCTGGAAATATACAATATGTTCCTTATTTCTACTTGATGCCCTTTGATGCCAGGTCGACTCTGACACGCTGCAGGTATGTAGGATCAGGATACCCATAGCTGGAAGGCAAAAGAGGTACATCTTGGTGAATCACAATATATACAAGGCCACATAGTAACACAATACAAATGTATTGATGCACGTTCCTTGTGTATTACATATGTACATGTAGCTGAGCCAATGGGTTGGAAATCAAACAGGACAACTGATTTTGTTTCGCTTATGACCTACCTTTGAGCTTAGACTAATTTTCCCAAGAATGTCTTTTTCAGCCTAAAACGTTTTGCCACTGTGTCTACTGTTGAAACGTATTTCTAGCTAGCAGCACTAGTGTATACAAAAGGGGCGAAAGGAATGACAGATAGAACGGGTGCAGGCGTACTTGATGGGTCCTCCGTGTGTGTTAGTCTTGTGCTGAATGTCGTTCCACACGAGCGTGTTGGGCTGTCCTGTCGTCACAGATGTCCCTACAAAGTCATCAAAATTAAAGATGCAGATTGGTAAGAGTAACCGGCTTGGTTACTTATCACGATCACAACTCGTGTACGTCATTTTAGGCATTTATTAGTTTAACATGATGCTACTATATCATGTTAAGATATATGAAGAATGTTGGGGAGACCAACTGACCGACGGTAAAGACGAGCCGACAGTCGAACGCCCTCCTGAGCAGCCGGAGCACCTCCCTTCCCTCAGGACTGTCCGGTAGGTAGGCAGTGCGCATGTCCCCGCTGAAGCGTTGTCCCGGGTTGGGATGGTCTTTCTACATGTGGAACGGACATTGTTAACGTTGTTTCGCTTTGTTATGATATAAATAACACATGCCAGGTGGTACATGTTTGCACAATTTTTACAAATGTCAACCGACACGCCTACACAACAAGCAGCTCTTTGCGACCAGGACCGAAGTTCTAAGTTATCGAGTGAACTGTATATAAAGTGCACGATGTCATGAATGCCTTTTCTACAGACGAGCACATATACTATAGTGTATGTTGTAGAGGTGACGTACCCCCTGTATGCCGCCGGGGATGTGGTAGTCTATGACGATGGTCCCGTACCTCTCGTACCCAGGTAACCTGACGCCCTGGTCCACTCTGTGGGTCATGGTGCCGTCAGGCTGGTTACCTCTCCTGGGAAAACGGAAATAACCTCTTTCAAAACACGCCAGATCATTAAAGAAACAGTCAGGTCTTAAGCATGTCACAACCTACCAGCATGAAACTTACAGCACGTCTGAGTCCAACCAGGATGGGGGGAAGGCCCGGGTGTTATAGACTTCCATAAACTTTGACCCTTTTCTTGCAGATAGCGATTTGGTCCGATAGCTGAAGGAGACTGAGGGGGTCAGTCGAAAATTCCGGCGATTTAAGTTTTTTTTAGTTGGAGAAATTTCACATACCTAGCCTTCCGTCAGTCTAAGAGGGGATCTACACAAAACGATACAGCGAGAACCTTACCTGTTATCGGTAGGCATTTTGCAGACAGGGCACTCCGGTTTGGACTTGAGGGACATGTCTATGCAGGGATTGCAGAACGTGTGCCGACAGTCCAGCGTGCGCGGATCGCTGACTCTCCCCAGGCAGATTGGGCACTTGTCGTCCTCATCGACTTCATCTGAATCATCGTCTTCGGCGAGACTGGCACCCAATTTCTGCGCATAACCACCACCAGTCCTAGTGTTGAAGTTACATGCCACGTTTCCCACTCTGGAGTAACTGGGTTTGCTCTTGCCATAGCCAAGACCACGCGCGTGTGTTCCTGGCTGAGCCGCAGGCCTCATTTTCCCGCCACGCTCTCCTTTCCCCTTTCCTCCAGTGAAGACGTACAAACGAGCGTCTTTGTTTCCTGCACCTGACACACTTGGAGAGCCAGGTCCCGCACCTGACACACCTGCAGAGCCTGGTCTTGCACCTGGCACACCTGCAAAGCTTGGTCTTGCACCTGGCACACCTACAAAGCTTGGTCTTGCACCTGGAACACCTGCAGAGCTTGGTCTTGCACCTGGTACACCTGCAGAGCCTGGTCTTGCACCTGGAACACCTGCAGAGCTTGGTCTTGCATCTGGCACACCTGCAGAGCTTGGTCTTGCACCTGGCACACCTACAGAGCTTGGTCTTGCACCTGGCACACCTGCAGAGCTTGGTCTTGCACCTGGTACACCTGCAGAGCCAGATCCCGCACCTGACACACCTGCAGAGCCTGGTCTTGCACCTGGCACACCTCCAGAGCCAGGTCCTTGACCCACCGAAGCTGTCGAAACGCCAATGTCGGTGAAGTGTTGAGAGAACACCTCCACAAACGTAGCCGTCGTCTTGGCGTTAATGTTGACCAGACGGATTTCCTTCAGGAGACTGTCGGGCGTCTGATAATCTTCGAACGCAGAAATGACGCGACACATGACGTCGGCACAGACCGCTGTGGGAAAGCCTGCAATACCGGATGGAGGGAAAGGACATGTTGTAACCTGACATCATCACAGAGAAAAGAATGCAATTGGCAGGGCACATCTTACGCTAACCCAGAAATCAACACTCCATGGCCTGGGTACCTCTAGATGGTAAAAGGAAGAGAGGCAGGTCAAAGAACACCTGGTGCAGGACATTCCTAGAAGATCTTCCCGACATGCAAGAGGCACAAGAGGAACTGATGTTTTAGGTAAATAATTCCTACAACACCGTGCTTGGACGATTGAACAAACCGCATTCGCCAAACGGTGAACAACCCCACCATCTGTGCAGTACTAACGGAAGTCGGATGGTGTCGCTCACCTGAACCTATTGCAGGTATGGCGATGGAGTTGACCTTCAGGTCGAATTCGGCGATATTGAGGAGATCGAGAAAGGCGGAGAACAGCTGATGATGGTCGGTCTGGTCACGTGACGGCTGCGGACTCACGGTGTGCACCACGTACTGACAGCGCATGCGCCCTCCGGGAGTCCAGATAGACTGGAATAGTTCAGGGTCATCATCACAACGCTTGACAATATGGACTGTGTGTAGAAGACTTCACTATTCTACAAGGTCGAAATTTGTCACCAACGCCGTACAATTTGGTTTTCTCTACAACAACATGCGCTAAGAGGAACTTATAATTACTTTGGCATATGCATTTTCCCCAAATACAATTGACAGCCTTCAGTATTTTCCCTTTGGCCTTGTCCTGGTGGGTTGAGGGATGAATAGCGACACCATGCGTGTAGTGCCGGTACTGACCTGTCCTGCCGACAGACGGCCGTGCCTCCTGATGTAGTCCGTACAGGCACGTCTGATCTCCGGTCCGCCGGCCTCACTGATAGCCCTGGCGATGCCGCTCCCACTGTCCAGACTCTCGGTATTACAGGACACGATCACATCTGCCACTTCCTGTCAAAAGTCAATAATAACAAGAAATTGGAAAATTCAGACGAATTCTGGGAATTTGGGGGCTTTGGTATGGAATTGTGGAGAGGATTGTATGATGTCATCTAATCAGGTATTACAGCAATTCCTTAATTCTTGCACAGGCCACTGATATCCTTTCACAGTGCACCATATCTATCAACCAAGTGTCAAAAAAACCTCGTACTCTCCATGCAACCGTCACCACTCGGACAGGAAACATACAAACTCACCAGTATAAGATCCAAAACAATACTTCCATATCCGGAAGTAATAATCGCACATACTTTTTAGAGGCATTTTCTATTCTTTCCCTGACTTCTTCTATCATCACGTTGATAAAGTAAAAAGTACCTGTGTGACGTCCCCCTGGTATATGAGCACTTTGACTCCTGTTCTCGTCACGAAGTCCAGTCTATCCCGTGACACGTGACATGTCTTCACACCTGCGGGCGGACCTTCCCTGTCACCATTAGCGCCTCCTGGCGGCCCAGAGTCTGTGCTCAGGTCCCCACGATATGCTTCTTCTTGGAAGGGTTGTCCGCTATCAACAGGGTTGCTTCCTTGTGTGGTAGTTTCGACCGCACGGACTTTGGACGAACATCTCTATTCCTGGTGCCCATCTTCTCTGGCACGCTCCCGGTGGAGTCGGATTCAACGCCTGTGTGGCTTTCGAAGGAAGCGCTGTTGTTGTTATCAACACTAGGAGCCTTACTACCTGCCACTGGTACCAGCTGCGCCTGTGGTCCTCTGTTTGCATCCTTGTTTGTGGTAGCATTGTTAGCAGCTGGTGTAGAGGCATTCGTAGTCGTTGCCCGCCGTCTGTTCCGTCTGTGTGCGATATCTGGATCAGGTATGCTGAGTACTTCATACAACTTAGCCCTCGCCTTCCTCACCATGTCTTCTTCGCCACAGAATAAGACCGTTTTCTCTCCGTCGTTCAGTTTGATGAAAACTTTGTCATGTTCTCGCGTTATCATATCCAGAACAAATCGAATGCTCTCTATGGGGATGTGAACCTCTGCGAGATTCGCCCGATGGGGACGGACGTCCTTAAACATCTCTTGATACAACGATACGAAAGTTTCATAAGCTTCTTCCAGGTCATGGCGGGAGCACTGTTCCTTAGGCTGGATATCAATACAATCTGTACTGTTCTCCATCTTAATCATGACTTTGAACTTATCTTCAATAGCGGTCAATTTGTCCTTGTGCTTGTGGACAATGTATGCCATGATGTCAGGGTCCACGGTGACGTGTTTTGCTGCCGATGTTGTGACATGCCGCCTCACATCATCGGACTCTTCAGCCGATTCACCCGGTGTCATTGGACGCGCTTTCGCTTTAGGCATACCGGCATGTGGTGTAGTTTTGATTAGCCCGCTTGGTGGTGCTTCATTCTCTTTGACCGCGGAAGCTTCAGCACTTGTGTCTGGCAAGGATCCCCTTCTTGCTGTCGTAAGGTGAGAAGGCGATCCTCTTGTTTCCCATTCATCGCTCAGGTCACTGTCTGACGACTCATCAGATGTCAGTGGAACTTCCAGGACTACGTCAGATCTGGTAGACTGCTGTGTTCCCGCTGTCGCCACTTTCGTTGATGCTTCCAAGTCAGCCTCCGGCTCGGCGGCGTCTACAGGCAACACGTTTTGTTTTCTGGTTGTGCTGTTCGGATCCGCCGAGCGTATCCCAGCTGCATGGTCACGGTCAGCTAAAGGTCGCGTCTGACGTGCGACGTGTGGCGTTACGTTTCGCGTTGTGTCAGAGGATGTGGTGAAGTTTTGCCGTCCCGATCCCCAGGCCATCTTTACTGCAGTCAGCGCCGCATCTCCAGGGCTGGCGCGGGCTGGGTCAGTCTTGTTGTCCGGCTCTTCGACATCATTTCTGTCCCTCTGCTGCCCGCTCTCCACTGTCTCGTTGGTTTCGTCGTCTCTGCAATACCTTCGTTGAAGAAGGCATCTGATGTGGGTTAAGGGAAAATAATTAAACTTGAAGGTTTACCATTGATGTGTGTGGACATTTAGCAGCTGTGATGTGTCTTGTGCTGGGTGGTTTGGCTGAAAAAAAGTATTTTCTGTAATTCTTATACATCTCTATTCAGTCTGAAAGTCATGTCCTCATTCTTCGCTAAATATATTACATACCCAGAAGCCCTGTAGCCAGACTACCGCGTGTTCACAACTTGTCCCAGGCTACCCTGTAGCTGGCCTGACTAAATCGCGCTCCTAGCGGCCGATAGGCCACCCTGCAGCCTGTACTCACCTCGCGTTCTCCACCTGTCCCCAGGTGCCCTGTAGCCTGTACCCGCCCGGCTCGGGGACCCACGTGACGCCTGTCTGTGCGGACAGGGCGGCCATGATCTCCTCCGGACACTCGGCCAGGTCAGGGACCTCTGCAGGGGTCACCACGGCGGCTACTGAGGCAAACACCTGCGGAGAGATTCAGTCATATCACGCGAGGGTTGGAAGGGGGCGCTTTTCCACTAGAAAACTTTGTCATGTTATGTTACTTTGGTAATGAAAGACTAATGAAAGAGGTCACACAAACGCACGGATATACATGTATATCTGTTTGATACAGCACCTTGCCCCGTTGCAATATACTGACTTGTTAAGACAGATGTTACTATTTGTTTTCAGTGCCTTAGTTTACCCAACCTGTTTTGATTTGTTTCATTGGTTTCTGTTGAACCCTCGAAGTCGAAATCGTCAAACCCAGAACATAGCAAATACATGTTCGTTAGAAAAAAATTTAGACACGACCGGCAATGTAAAGATACAGGCTTGTCGCGAAAGGTAACGTTACATTTCTGTGATAACACTGCACCTGTTTTGCGATTCTACCGCCTTTCCGTCTCTCCTGACTGCCACCCTCTGCTCCCGCCAGCGGTTCCACCTTCACCGTGGCAGACTGTTTCCCCAGCCGGTGCGAGCGATTCACCACACGTGTAGCAACTGGAAAAATGAGACGTCATCATCAGATGCATATGGCATTTTTGCTGGTCTATGTCTAGGAGAAACAGCTAGGACACAAAAGGAAGTAACTTATTGTCTCCAACTGCAAATGTTTCTGTTGGCTTCCTATGCAATTTGGGCTACAATCCCACGGTTTGATGAACGAGAGGCAGATCACGGTAGAATATGTCCAGCTTATGTCCAGCACAAATACAAAATACCGGATGTTCTGCTGCAGTACCAAGAACAGCTACTAGGGACGCCCATAAATTACCTTGACCTTCTTCGCAAAGCTAGTCATAACCTTTGTCAAATGACGTGTGATGACGTACCCTCAGCAGAATAGAACGTGACCTTGGCCTGGAAGTCGACCTTCTCGATGTCCCCTCCGCCGGTACTCTTCTTACCGAAGTGGATCTCTATCTTGTCTCCTGTCAGGTCCGCAGGGATGGATGACACCAACACCGTCCGCTCGGCCGCCATCTTGGTTCTAGATGTAACACATATACCCCAAAATGCAACATATTTGAAAGTCATATCATGGAACGCGGTGACTTCTTTACAATTAGAAGAGCTATCTACCACCGAAATATAATGCCGATAGGATTTCCAGAACATGAGACATGAAGACCGGACGTTCTATTGCAGTTTCAAAGAAAACCGCTAGGAGGCCCACATCGATCCCAATTTGTCGTTCGTTTTGCCAACATGTACCCACATACCAAATGTCATAAAGATCTATCCACAGCTATAAGCTTGTTTATGTTAAAACAAACAAACAAACAAATGCACTCCGCTACCCACCAACAAACGACACCGAAATGATAACCTTTTCAGCGAAGGTGCGACGTGACGTAGTTTCGTATACAATCAATTCAATATGATGCTTACTACATCATATGGCACCCCATGTTACCAAGTTCTTTCTTTAAGTAAAATATATGGTGAGAACACTTCCTTCATATTAACTGTCCAGTCTATATGAGAGATCTCTAGATCGAATCCAGCATCCAAGGGTACGTACATGTATGCACTGTTTAGATATACAGGAGTGCGTTCATTAAACTGATAGATCTTTAGACGCATTATTCAGGGTGGACCTGGCGAAATCATGTTGATACTAGTTAACGTTACACCGTGACTACATTTGACTCTGAAACACAACAACTCACCGACGCGGTGGTACCTGACCTTTCACCTGGCGAATTATATCAGTTTAACGGTTAAGAGTCGTTATTCTGAGGCTCGTAACGTGGTCACGGCGGTTTCTGTGTGACCCTGTCAATCCGGCTGTATCAGTGATTAAGAGAAACGTTTACCCAAAGTGAAACTTGACGTGAAACTGTCTATTCTACGAAGCTGGTTTCGAAAACAGTCGGGTGTAACATAATGCCAACGTTAACGCGGTTTCGGACATAATATACTTTGCTTTCAGTAACATTATACGACGAGTTTAAGATACGATAAATAGTCATTAAGATTGTCTGTCTGAAGTACCTGTAAGTAAGGTTGACACCCTCCCACTGTCCTCTGAAGATCACCACAAGAAGCACACCGAAGGGCTTGCCGAGTGAACCCGGAAGTAAGGCGACCCAACAGGGCGGCCAGGTGAAAGGGGAAGTCCCGTGACGTCACGTGTGTTTACGATTACGGGCTGGTGACGGGCGATGATGTAATGTCTCTTTTACAACATGTAGCAAAAAATTGCTTTTTTCTGTCTGAGCAACATGGTGAGAGAGAAGACGTCACGTCGGTCACGATCAGCATCGGTGGATAGGAGTCATGAATGTAGAAAGAACGTATGAAGGAGAATGGTGCTGGGTGTACTGGCATGGCTTGTCTTAGACCATGTACGAAAACTAATATTTATTAAGTTCACCATCATCACATGTACGTCTATCATATTTTATTTTAAGTTTGTACCATTAATTTTATCTAATTCTTATGTCTTGCATTTAATTGTTTAGTGGTGGCGCTAATATAATATTTTAATTTGAGGTTGCTCCACAACTATGTCTGTATATGTCTTTCATCCGAATATAAAGAAAACTTTGCTCGGGGGAGGGACGTTTTTCAGAAGGGGTATTTACAGTGTTATGGTTGATAGTTTTCTACCGTCAAACGTAAAGATAGAAGAGAAAATAAGGACCAGGACTCGCGATGTAGATGAATAAAGCCGCTCTTTATTATTCAGTCCAGCTGAGGTTCGGTCAGGTTGTTATCCGGGAAACTGGTAACGTGTGCATGGACAGCGATACATCATGTCAGTCCGGCTGAACTGGATACTGGCAATCTTTTACTCTGGGTGACATTACAATACAACATACAGCCATGGTGAACAGTTGTTCGTACAATAGATAAAGCTCTCTTAAACATTCTACGTAGCCAAGCCACATTATACATGTTCATGTCCGGCGATGGGCTAGTCCATTTCAAATTTGGGGAGGAATGAATTCTAGGGAAAGAACTTCGTTTTTGAAACGTGAAGTGAGTAGTGAAATGGTGCGGGGAATGAAGGAGGCAAGAGAAATGGTAGCCCACCATACCTGACTTCTTGAAATGGAATAGCCTGTACCATTACTTTATTGTAGTCAAGTAGTAAAGAAGAATATATAACTAAAGATATTTTCTACCAAACAGTGATAACGGCCACCTTCTCCATATCGTCCCCTTCAAAGTGTCCGTCAGATTTTCAAACGTACGTTGTACAATCAAACACGTAACATCGGATCACATTGTGATATTTCCATCACGTTGTCAACTTGAAACTCCATGGGCATCTCTCTATTCTATCGTTTGAAGTATGTGTGTGTTTTTCTTTTCATTAAGGGGAACAGACAAGAATCAATACCCATTCGGATGCCATCCGCCAATTGAAGACTATGTGGCCGAATCAACAAATTGAGGAAAATTTGTGGCCACACATGAAACGATTTTCGCTAATTAGCAAAAAAAAACATTCCTTTTTTTCATTCCCTTTTTTTCATTACCCACAAAATGACAGAAGGGAGCTTAGAAGCATTCCGGCAGAGTGGCGGATTGGTACTTGAGTGAAATAAGAAGATACAAAATTGAAGCCACGGTGCGTCCCACGATGACAAGGAAGTTGGCCTCAGCAGCAGGGAGAAACAGGTGGGATCAGCTGGTGCATCGCCAGGTGGCGCTTTAGCTGCTGCGAACTGCTAGAACACACCTGGGCAGAGGGAAAGCATGACGCAACGTTATTATGTTTCGCCGTGGAAGACTGACGTCCAAAGACATTCCTTCCGCCCACATACAGTTACTAGTATTGCTTATTGGCATATTCTAGTTCATCCATGTCCTATTGGCGACTCATGATAAGATGATAATGATGGGAAAGACTATGGAGCAGCAAATATTGAGCTCGGTGATGCTGTTTTCTTTTCCTGTCGCTGTTAGACCGATCCCGACTGTCCATCACAATTATCGATTCAACCAATGATAACATGGCAATTAGCGATTCGACCAATGATAGCATGGCAATTAGCGATCCGACCAATAAGGGAGTGATAACAAGTCCGTCTACAGGATCGGTCTATTCGTCCCGCCAACTTTCTCGTACGTCCAAATTCTTTCAGCCATCCCGCTATGGTAGATACATATTCTTAGTCCCTTTTTAAAATAATCTGTCCAAGTCACTGGCACTAGTAAACAACCATGCACATAACCCATCCCTGAACACATAACTTACCTTTTCCCACAGACGCGTTCGCAGCACTTGTATCTCCCTGCGTCGTCAGGGTGCTGCTCGTCGCAGTCGGAGTCGCTGTTGCAGCTGTTGACGCAGCCGAAGGGCGACCAGACGTGCCAGGAGGACAGGGCGGGCAGGGCGGGGCACGACCCGTCATTCTCCGAGCCTTCATCCTCATCATCACGCTTCAGCACTGCGGACAGACGGCAGGTCATTACATTAACCACCCCTCGTCTGGTGTGGGAAATTGAACTACCGCCATGGCCATGGCAGGCACATCACTAACACTCCACGTACTCCACGATGCAAACATTTTACAGGTCGCTCGGTGAGTTTCATAGAAAAAGACATCTTTTTACGTTTTGTATGTCTTGGTGTACTTGAGATTATTCAAACATTGTCAAATCTAATTTTTGTCGCTCAAGGGCCGTTCGACGATCACCGTCTATGCACAATCGTCAAACGTGAATGATCGCAGTACTTGCCCAAGAACTTGACCGGCAATCAATCTTGAGATGTAAGCTTAAGTAATTTCCATCAATCAACGTAAGGGCTATACATTTTTTTATCATTAAAAGAGTAGGATATGAAACAATGGATTGAATTTGAAAAATTATGAAGATGTAATAAGCCCATGCTCAGCTTGAGCCTTCCTGCACGGTCTACTCCTGTTGTCAATTCAACGCATCACACCAGACTCCCCACTAAGCACGTGTATCCAGGCGTTCCTCAGAGACATCATTACTCCTAGTCCGGCTGGTGGGAGTCCGGCTGCCGCAGAGCCGTGGGGATTGTAGCGTAGTCAATAAGAAAGCTAACGGATCGTGGGTAATGTGAATCAATCTATATCCACGCTACAGCTTTTGAAATGTGTTCGTGACGTCAAAAGGCCCAATCAGCAAGACCATTAGTCGTTCTGCCATTCTACTGAATTCTATGCCTATTTTTCTATAGACTAAATACTGCTGAATATTCTCTCCTACTTCATCCCACAAACGGTTTGTAGCCGTCCAAGAATTCCTTTGTAAAATACATGTAAGCCATTGCAGAAACGATTGTCACTCTAATGACGTGATTGTGAAAGAAAATCTTACATCACGCCGAATACTGGCGGCGCGAGCTCTGGTCAGTGGTAAAAGGGAGTAATTGTGGTCCAGATCTTACTCTTAATGGGGTGTTTCATCAGCCAACAAGTCTCAATAAGAGAGCGTCACTAGAACCAATTCTCAGTACCTGGTGGTGATGTGAATTATAATCTAAGACGCCATCGCTCGGGCGTGGTAGCTGACTGGGTGACTTCTGAGAATACACAGTGAGAACATAAAATAAACCACAGTGAATCCGCCTGATGAGGATTTGTGACAAGGCCTAGGCCTAGGAAGGAAAAGTGCACCTGAGAGGATTCAATGGCTTTTCCTGAATCGCAATTCAAAAGTCTCAAAGCTGGAACACGTACGTCACCCTCTGGACTTGTAAAAAAAATGCAGACCCTCATCTACAGGAACGATAACTTGACTTTGGCATAGCTGCGTCTGTTTCTCAAATCCTCCCACGCATGACTTTACATCATTTTTCATGTAAATCTACGGGGGAAGAGGGATTGCGTACAGCACATGCCCTGTTTCAGCAAGCAACGTCTGGAGCAGAATTGAAAACTACTGAATTGTACCGTCAATGATGGTGAATCGTACCATTTTGCGTCATTGTTTTCTAATTCTGTTTAGAACTCACCGTGGAAGGACGCTCCTGTCTCCCGGCAGACTGGTCCGCACACTGAGGAGCAGCCACAGGTAAGTCCCTCCGGGCAGTCTACAGACGTGGAGCACGGCAGGAACTTCTTCAGACACAGGACGGGAGGTGTGCGCCCCGGAGACAGGCCCGTACACGGCCCTGCGTGGCCTGGGCGGAACATATAGTCAGGACATGTCACAGACAGTATGGCCGAGCGCCTTTTAACCACCTGTAGTGGTTAGGTAGGTGGGTTATTGTTATCTAGATCTGTAAGTATGTTTGCTTGAATGTTCGTAGGAGTTGTGGGGTCGTGTGGCGTAGTGGCAGAGTGCGCGACTCGGAACTTAGAGTTCCGGGTTCGAGTCCTGACATGCCACCGATCTTGTGCCCTTGGGAAAGGCACTTTACACGACTTTCCTCACTCAGCTCAGGTGTAAATGAGTATTGTCCTGTCATGTATTTGTCCCCAGTGTTGGTGGCGGCATTAATATAGGTTGAAAAAACTTGAGTGTGTCGTCACCACGTCTGGTGATTACATGTTGGAATAAAAAAATGTTCGTAGGAGTTGAATGTAACCCTGGGTTGTCCTTATAAAGTCAAGTTGGTCTCCCTGTGGCCGAAGGATGGGAGGAAGTGGCCATGTCCACACAGTTACTGATGGTATACCCAGGCAGGGCTCTCCCAACAAGCTCTCAGTTGCAAGGGTTCTGTTCTATGCCCACAATCTCTTTCGTTGTGTAATGAAGTCATAAAACAAACAAAGTCTAAATATTTCTCGGAGGATTGAAATCTTCGATGTCTCGTTTTGGTATTGTGCTGAATCGGGCTCAAAAGCGTTACGAAGCAATTATCCAGCAATCAAATAGCATACAGTTGTTGGACTTAAAATGTCCAAAATTTTCAAACCAGACGCCAAAGTTTCTAGCTTTACACAAACGCCAGGAGCTACTTAACTGGATTTTGTACCAAGCCCAAGGGTTCATGCCATTGGTGAATTAGTAAAAAAAAAGGGTTTTTTGAAAGAGCGAAAAAAAACCTTGACAATGACAGATGAAGCGACCACTTTGTTAAAAAAACGTTTCTTTGAAAACTGCGTGCTTAAATCACTGAGCATTTGCAGAATACTAGACAGAGAGCGCTCCGAATAGTAGAAGGAAAGTGGTCAAAATGGCAGAAGAAAAGCGCTTGAGTAGAAGAAGCAGAATGCTAGGAATAGTAGACTGAAAGAAAGACGTTACCTGCCACAACGGCAAACATCGCACAACCAGCGGCGGTGGTCAGCACCAACATCTGAACAACGCTCTGCATCCTCAGGTCCTGGAGCGGGAGGAGACGTTCGAGCCAGAGATGGGGAGTCTGCGGGAGAAGTGAGGGCGACGGGACAGAAGCAGCGGGTTTCATAGCCGGAGCTGACGTAGGCGCACAGGTCCCGAGGGACATCCTACGGCAACTCGCAACCAATCATCGTTCGTCTGGAATAATTATCATAATGACGCACGGAGTCGTGTTTGATGTTTACATGGTACGTGGACCGATGTACTGTGGTTTTGAGAAAGGCATTTTTCCTGCCAAGTTGTTGACTCGTTCGACCGCGGCCGAGCCAGTATTGCATTGTATTTTTCATGACGCACGGCTTTTGCTTATGTTTGACCCCATGGTGAACTAGGGTAAGGGGCAGTCGGATCCGAGCACGTTTTAAAAAATAATTTGCCACAAAGTTGAAACTTTGCTTTTATGGAATTGTCAGACTTAACCATTATGTTATTCTGACGCACAGCTGGGTGAACCTACACGTGGGGAGGTAACTATTATGTCATTCGGCTACCAAAAAGCTAAAACGTTAGACGTCACCTCGTCTGGAGTTTGATATTCAGAGCAACAGCGCTGTACGCTGTCTGACACACGTCTGCCGTAGCTAACACAGTCTAACATTCACGAAGCTTCCATGTTATCTGGAACGAATTCAAAGTTGTTGATTTTTTGTTATTTGGGAATAATGGTCTCACATTTTCATCTGCTTGGACGCCGTTTGGCAAAAAGTCAGCAAGAATTCACTGCATTGACCAGACGCTAGGATGTGGCGAACAAATTTCACCAGTTTCTTCTCAAAACTACAACCTTTGGCGATATCGCTATGGATAACATCACCCTAGGCGCCTATAACAATGTGCTAGTATGTGATAAAACGATGGGAGGGGAGGCCAGGAGAAGTCTGTATCAGACTCGTTACTGGTATCACGCCATTAAATATTGAAAACATTCATATCACTCAGACTTTAGCCGAAAATGCCACGATAGTGCAGTCTACCTCACATTGATCCCCAAAGTTTCGCTCCAACTTGAGGCGAAAATCAGCGGTGCTTCTAGAAGTGTTTAAGGGCTCTACTGCCTTCCCGAGACGCATGATATGTAACTCCAATAACCTCAAGCAGAGAGTCCATTGACGTAGTTCACTGCAGGGATGCGGTAACAACGTGCAGAAGACGCTTTTGCACGACCCATTGCATGATTTGGTCAGTCTCATTGACGAAATTTCTATAGACCCACATCCCTGAGACTTTCTACCTGTTCCGGCTGTAGGCAACAGGTTGCACTCTGCTACAACTAGTTCAAGGTCTTGGCCAAGAGTTTATTTGCTTCGTCTGTTTTACCTGTAAACCGCCTGTGTACGTGATTTATTTTTTTCAACCTTTATTTAACCTTGAAGACGTACATGCCAGATCTATACAGTAAGTACAAGCTGTGTACTCGTAGTAGACGACCACTACTAGAGAAGTAGGACTTGTCCTATTTGGCAAGTAGGTACCTAACTTGGTCATGGTTTCTGACGAGTTTGAATGTTTTGTTTGCATTATTTTGTCAATGCCTATTGCAATTTGTAGAAGCTGACAGCTACGTATTGTGTTTCAGTACAGAACACGAGGCTCTGTTTTCGCGTTCAAGTCAATCGTTTTACAGTAATTTCTCTTAATACATGCCAAACTCTGATAACCTTCACCTACGCAGCGCTAGTTACGTGCTGTGGATTCTTGGAAAGTCCCCGCCTGTCTGTGCCAGGATCAATAATCTCCCAGCGTACTCAGCATTTTATTTTGAAAGGTAGTTAAGATTACGGCCTTAAGCCTGGAGTTGGCGATGTCTGCATGATTGATGGATAGGGCTAACAGAACATGTAAAAGTTATTCTGCTCCAGACAGGCTGAATCCTGTACACTTACCTGGGCACAGTGCTGGTAACACGAGTTATATGACGAAACGGTGAACTTACTTTTACTTATGAGTACGGAAGTATTGTTTTGGGTGGGTTTGTCTGTGGGTTTGTGTGTATGTTTTTTTTACAGAGTAGGTTGACAGCACGTGGATTGGGGAGATTGACAGGCAGAATGACAGGAGATCGAAGAATCTTTACTTTGCTTTACTTTGCTTTGCTTTGCTTTACTTTGCTTTGCTCTGCTTTACTTTACTTAACTTTACTTTACTTTACTTTACTTTACTTTACTTTACTTTACTTTACTTTACTTTACTTTACTTTACTTTACTTTACTTTACTTTACTTTACTTTACTTTACTTTACTTAATTCAACTGATGTGTAAAGGTTGACTCACCATCGTTTCGTTTACGATTTGACCGATGCATTATACCTTATCTCATCAACAAAGTACTTCCTGTAGGAAGCAGAGACTGATTGGCACAACTCATACCTCCCACAACTGCTCACGGACATTAAAAACATTTTAACGGCTTTCTGAAAGATTGCAAACTAGTCCCATGTCCCGGAAATTAACTAACGTTCAACTGGGGTCGTACGCTTAACGGCTCGTTAGAATTTGTACTGCCTGGAACTGCAGGTGGCCACTTAGTACTGACTCTCCGCCCACAAGTTGAGCTGCTGATGAAATGGTATTGTTGTCCGGCCTTCCGCATCACACAGCTGCGGTCAACAGTCAAGGTTCTGTCGGGGGAAAATGGGACATGTTGTATCCAGAACCGTGTTTTATCCAAACCATGCACAGGAACGCGTTAGAATCCACACGTGTCCTGAACCCTGCCTGGCTGGGGCAAATATATGTTCCTGGATGCGCGCAAACCGTATCTAAAACGTGCCTAATCCTAACCCTAACACATTCAGGAATAGATATGCTGGGTTCCGGATACAATAGGGTGCAATTCGTCCCGATAACCAAGTCATCTTTAATATCTCCGATTATTTATGCGTCTATGCTTTACATCAGAGCCAATTCACTCCCACGCAGATTCCGCCACTGCTGCTCTCCTGAATGAAGTCAAGAGTATTCAGCTCGGAGCGTACGTTGCCCTCGGCTTCCGTCGCAGGTTTTCGAACGCCAGGACGTTAAAATGGAAGTCGGAAACGTTGAGCCAATGAAACTTGTCGGACAAAGTTTCAAGGAATAACTTCTGGATTTTCAACTACCGGTGAATGTACTGGATATACTGGATGTGCGAAGTGCTAGGCAGTACACACCTTCGAACTAAATACTCTTGACTTCAAGAAGGAGAAATTGAAAGTACAGGGCAACTTCATCAGACAATTGTGAGGACGTTTGGCATCAATGTTTGTCTTTGTGTTTTACTGTGTACCAGCATGCACAACTTCAACATGTGACCTTTCAGGTGTCTGTTGTGAGTTCAATCATAGCTCTCACACGCGCACCTACAACCTTCGTTGTTGTCCACGGTGCTGCCACACATAATCGTCATAGGCTAGCTAGGACGTCGTACGATTTGATGTCAAGCAGTCACAGGCTGTCACAGAAATGACCAGCGACAGTTCTGTCCGGAATATGACTTTCATGCTGTCAGTTTGTGATCGCACAATTCGTACGACGTCTGTGACCTGGCCCTAAAGAGTACAGTTCAATAACCGGTCGTCGGTGCGTTTCTTTGGTGTAGTGCCAAGTGCAAATCTTATCTTCGAGAACGCCATGTATGCAAAGAGG